CTGAATGTCTATTAAAAGCCCTACAAAGCTGCATCTGGCCCTTAAATGTAAGTTAGACTGATCCAAATGAATGAGGAGCAAGGAGAAGAGAGTGGGCTCCTAATCTGCCATGCTGTATTGCATCTGCACCCAGGGACTTGCTGGAGAGGAGCAGGTAGATGAATGCTTGCTGTAGTGGACTGAGTCTTAGGAGCACAGAAAATGAAAGTTGGAAGGGACCTCAGGAGGTCCTAACTAGGACCGTCCCCAACTACATCACCCCAGCCAAGGCTTTGTCTAGCTGGGTCTTAAACCTGCAAGGGGTGGAGACTCCACAAACTCTCTGAGTAACCTGTTCCAGTGTGTCACTACCCTCCTGGCGAGAGACTTCCTCACCTAATATCCAACCCAAACTTGCCTTGCTGCAGCATGAGCCCATTGTTCCTTGTTCTGTCATCTGCCCCCACCTACAAACTCATCAGGGGGATCAACTGCAAATAGGCAGAGCCCTTTTCTCCCCAGCACCACCTGGGGTGACGAGGAACAATAGTAATAAGCTGATGGAGAATAGGTTTAGGTTGGAGATCAGAAGGCAATATTTTACAGTTAGGGTGGCAAAAATCCAGGTCCAACTTCCCAGGGAAGTGGTCCTCACCCCTACCTTGGGCAAATTCAAGAGGAGGTTGGACGATCACCTGTCTGGGGTCTTGTGAACCCAGCATTCATTCCTGCCTGTGGCAGGGGGTCAGGCTAGATGATCTGTTCAGGTCCCTCCTGACCCTAGCTGCTATGAAACCATGAGAACAGCCTCTTTGGAGCCACCCCCCAGGGAGTTAAAGGCTGCTACTAACCGCCCCCCTCCTGTCTGTCTTGCCGTGTGCCCAAATCCTTTGGGTTGCAACATATCCTCCCACTGCCCCTCTGCCTTGCTGTGTGCCCCCAATCCTTTGGGCTGCAACATATCCTCCCATTGCCCCTCTGCCTTGCTGTGTGCCCCCAATCCTTTGGGCTGCAACACGTCCTCCCACTGCGTTGAGAGCGGCTGTGCGGTGACACAAAGCCCTCTCGGGTGCTGGGGAGTGTTTGCTGGTGTCTCCAAGCCAAGAGCTCCCTGCGATGGGGGGGAAGCGGTGGCAGATGACTTGAGACACGCGGGGGTCCCGAGGGAGGGTGTGGCAGGGGCCGGGCTCGGGAGGGAGGGCTGGCTGGAGGCGGCGCCGCGCATGCTCGGGCCGGGCCGGGCGCGGGGAGCCGGCGCGGTGGGAGCGCTG